TTAGAAGGGCTCCCACTTTACGTGACAGGCTGGTGCCTAGCCATCTCTCTGCTTTAGATAAAAAAACTTGGCTTCATCGACCTGTGAAGGGTACTTATAAATGTGGCTTGTGCAAACATTGTGCCAATATCAAAGAATGTAAACAATTCAGTGACTTTAACACTAACAAGGCTTATGACATCAAGTCATTCATTAACTGTAATACTATGTTTGTGGTCTATCGATTGTCCTGTACCTGTGGTTGTTTTTATATAGGTCGCACTAAGCGACGTTTAAAACACAGAGTCTCTGAGCAAGTATGCTATCAGAAAAGCAAACTTTGATTAGCCAATGGCTAAGCACTTTCATGAAGCACATGACAGCAATCCAGGCTCACTCATGGTTGAAGGCCTAGAAAGGATTCAAAAAAACATTAGAGGTGGTGACAGACTCAAATTACTTTTGCAGAGAGAGACTTTTTATATTTACCAAATGAAAGCCACTATCTATCCAGGTCTAAATGAAGACATTGATTTCAGTCCTTTTTTGTAACTTTTTTCTATCATTACAGACACAGTGTTTTTTCTTTTTCTTTTTTTCTGTATTTAATTGTTTAAAAGTTGGTGGAGCCATCTATTGGTCATGATCTGTTATTTCTCATGTTTCTATTGTCCTCCTACCTACCCAGGTGTTTCTAATCATCCTATGTAAGGAGCATTAGTGTGCTGAGGGTTACACCCTGAAGAAGGCTTTTGTGCCGAACCGCGTGGGCTGTAACCCACTTTCATCATGTTTTAACTTTTTCTAAATGAAACAGCCATTTTTTGAATAAAGGCGTTCTATACACTTAAAGAAGAGTGCCTTGGATTTTCCTTTTTTTGACGTCAACATTCCCATCAAAGAGCACTTTCCTCACATGATTAGATGAACCTTCTGAGCACTCTGGACTTTCTTTTTGACTGAATACATAAACAATCCTTTGAAAAGATGGAGACAAGAGACTGAGCAAGACATTGGGCAGAGCCAGGTGCTAACGACTCTGTTCAGAGACTCAGTCACTGACGCGCTCCCCACCCCAGTCCAGAGCAAACTGAGAGACGTAGTGGCACTAGCAACGATGCCACACAGACAATTTTGTGACAATGTGATCCACGCAGTGGAGAGACACAGAAAAGATGAGCAGAAGATGAAAGAGCAGGATAGAGAAGTCCAGAGAAAACTAGCACAGCTGCAACTAAGCGAGGTGCAGAGCAAGGGCAAAGCTAACACTCAAGCACCAATTACGGCTGAAAAAACTAACCACACGTTAACGAACACACCCACCGCATAGCCAACACAACCACCGCAACCACCCCCAGTTGTCAATGTCTACACACAGCCATACACACAGCCATATCCACCACCTGGAGCATGTTGGCAGTGTGGAGAGCTTGGCCACAGAGCAGTAGCCTGTCCACAGGTGGGCCCCGGACCGGTAGAAGGGAGGGGGGATTCGGAGCTGCTCGGAGAGGGGGAATGGCACCAGTGGTGTCCCTGGAACCTATGATTACACCAAAAGACATTATACTAATACGAAAGGAAGCAGGTCAGGGCGAGCACAGTCTATGGCTCAAGAGAGGAGCAGCAAAGGACGAGAAAGGTTTTGGAGGTCCCCTGAGGGACTTATAGTTGCACCAGTGGCTCTGTTAACCATTTTGATCTGAGAAACCCACGGTGTTGCATACATTTATGTATGGACTATGTAGACATGATAAAATCTGTACATGGCAAACGATACATGCTTGTGGTAATTGATCGCTTTAGCCGAGAACTGCAAATGGAACTGTCTGAATATATAAAACAAATAACTGCCTTCCATAGATCTATATATTTGCAGGAAAAGGTGAAGGAGCCAAAGGGCTGATCAGGAGGCCGAGAGACAGGTGGTGCCAGGCGATCAGGTGTACGTGAAGGTCGTTAGGAGATATGGCACGAACCAAGAGGAGAAGGGCCGTAGTGAGGGCGAATCCAACAGCAGTCCAAGTCGAAGGAAACACGACGTGGTGTTTTCTGAACCATTGCACCAAGGCAAACTGGGGACGAAAGAGACTGCTCCAAGGAGCCCAAGTCAGACTCTGAAGACGAGGTGCACGAGACATCTGCTGGAGTCACAGCTGCTCCAGGAAGCAATGCACAACCGTGTTCAAGATAAGTATGATGCAACCACAAAATTCCCAATTCACACTATGTTGAAACCCATGCCAACATTCTCAGATGTAGAAGAAGTTTATTATGACTGTAAGCTGTATAGTCAGGAGCAGGTTAAACAAATAACACTTCGCCTGATGAAACATTTCCTGTTGCTATGAATAAGCTTGAAGCCTTAAGATTTGAAGTGACTGAAAATGCTGGTAGGGGTGGAAGCATTAAGTGGGATGGGCTAGAGGAAATTTTTGGACAATGGGGAGCTGTTTTGGCTAAGACAGGGATAATTATACTGATAGTACTAATTCTGTTTTCCTTGTTGACATGTTGCATCGTGCCTATCCTGAAGAAATGGTGTGTGAGAGCAATGGACAAGGAGCTGAACCTCGTAATGGACATGCAGGGAGCACAAATGCTAAGTATGCTGACCCCTGAACAATTGGTGTGCAGAATTCTTCTGGCGCATAGGGGGGAGGAAATACCAGATTTGTTTCCAAACCCTGATTACATAGACAATTCAAAGGATGAGGAGGAACTGTGAGAGAGAATGATGAACAATGGCTGATACTCATATTCATTTTCTGTATTCATTTTTGTGTTTTGATTTTACAAGAGGAAAATGTACTCTGATTTCGATTTAGCAAGTTATGCATATCATCCAAAATGATTTCTGTGATTCCATTGTAATCCAATAAGTAGGTTGCATTTTATTGTTTGATGTATTTGACCAGTCTGTTTAAGATTCATCTGTTAGGCCGCCTAACGGGAAGGTGCCAATGGCGGACTTTTCCTGGATTAAACAGCCGCCAGGTTTTTCACCTCCATCAGCTGAATGTTGACAGATGATAAAATATGTTCATTGTTTGATGTGTAAGTTCATATATCACCGTATCGAATGTTTTCTTATGCATCATCATATTCAAGTTCAAGAGTTTCGTACACGACCATATATTCATGTTAGTAAGGAACACTGGTTATAGTTACAGTGCCATATATCCTACTCATATTCATACAAGCATAGGCGTTCATTTACCATACATTATCTCTGCGAGCAATTTATGATAAAATCATAAAGAGGACGGACTATGCAGAGGCAGATAATGTATCATTTTGTATTAAAGGTGAAAGATAAGGTCAGTTACACAAGGTTTAGGAAGCAACTGGTCAAATATCAGATTTGGCAGCAAAAAGGTCCCATAAGAGGTGTTTTGATAATTTGAGTAGTTTGTGCTTAAGTTAAGCCTTGGGAGGTCAAATGAAGTAGAACATTCTGGGTTAGGGTGACCTGACCGGTGGAACAGATGTGCCAATTTCGGCAATAGGAACGGTTGCTTTTGCCAGTTCTTAGACAGACAAAGAAGACAGGAAATATTAGCGCACAAAGTCCAGCTTTAGGAACAAACAAAGGAAATCAGGAGAACATTGGATTCCCAGGGAATATGACCCAAGTGTGTCCCTACACACACACACACACACACATACACACACATGCACATGAATGAACAGACGCCCATTATAAAAGCATTTGAAGGATGACTGTTCGGTGCTGTTTTCGCTATTTTCACTGTGTTGCTGTTTTGGCTGGTGCACTGTTGTACCTACAACCCTTTTCTCCGTGGTTCTCCGAGTCTCGTCATTTCAGTATTTGCTGAAGTTGAGCATTTTCCTTACAAAACAGACTCAAGTCATCACTGTTGCATTTTTCCAGCTTCCCAAATATCTTGCTATTGTGATCATTTTATTTCTGGTGTGATATATCCCTAATGACACCAACCACAAATATTATCCCTGCATGATCTAATCTGTAGCACCTCATTTAGTCACTGTCATCCAGCACTTGGAGAATATTTCTCTGACCTTTGTCTTTCCACCATTTTCTTTCTTAAGCTTCTTAAAAGTCCTCTTCTCTACTCCTAACAGTTTTACACCTTAAGAGCTCTTTTACGGTCTTAGATGCTCTGTGAATAACTTTAATCTTTACAAGACCTAGTCTTAACTTTAAGGGGAAATTCAAAGAAAACCTCGCAATTCTGAGAATTTTCTTAGAATTTTGTCACTAGGAGCAGCTCTTTGTAGGAGGAAGCTTTGTGACTACAGCCCCTGGTCTGTTTATTTTGGAGAGGAAGAGACCTCTGCAGATAATTTGGCTCCCGATAAAGATCTCCTCAACAATGAGCACTGAAGGAAGGGGACAAAGGAAAGCTTTCCTAGGGCAATGAATGTACTAGGTCAACACTGCTAACTGGGAGTTTACACTCGGCACATGGAAAAAGTTTCAACTGCATGCAATCTGCAACCTCACCACTAAATGCCACTAAATCTTACACACTGCTCCTTAACTAAACATCATGTCACAGAAATAATGAATGGCCTTACTAAAGGTGATTCAGTTTATAAGAGATGGGAGTTTTTCTGGGAAATTTATTTCCCAGTGAGATCTGTCTCTACAGATTAGTGATCATGTGAGGGCAGAAGCTGATGTGCAGCTGAACTTTTACTTTCCCTTTACCACAGATGTAACACTGTGGAAAAGGTAGCTTTGACACAGACTGGTGACACTGAATGATTTCATTAAATCTCTCACTTTGAAAGCAGTGGAAATTTTGCGGGCCAGTTACTGAAATCTTCGGAGGCAGTATACAGGCTTTTATTTACTTTCAACATTACTCAGAGTAATTGCATGAACGACATTTTATTTGTGAGTTTTTCCAACTTCAGACCCCATAAAATGTACCTTTGTCTTTTATTCTTCATGTTCTCATGATGCACAGTCAAAGGTTCAGCACTGAGGACAGCAGATGCTCACTGATAGGGGGTTTCCTTCCTGTGCAGGACGACAAAACTGTAATGACTTCAGTTAGCACTTATGTAAGCAGTCAACAGGAAAGTTATTTGCTGCATGACATGACAATGCAGGGTGTGACTAAATACAAAGCAAAGACGGTTACTTGAGTGCAGAAATACAAACACACACATACACAGAATAATAATAATAAAAATTATCACAGCGAGAGTTCAGATGGAGCTCAATAATTAGAGGTGTCATTTATGGTTTTGGTTTGAATCATGTTTACTTTTACTTTTTAAGTTTACATTTTGACACAGCACACATGACATTAGTGTTTCCTTCATGATCTGCAGGAGATATTTTGTTGTGGACACAGCTTCATGCGTCAAAAGTTTCCATGGGTTTTGTACCACTGAGCTCTGGCAACAACATCATTGGAGTAGTCTCCACCTGTTGTGTTTTCATCCACCCGAGCATAAGAATGGACGTTTCCATCCCCCATATTGTAGGCTGCTATTCCTCCTGCACAGACAAACACAAATGAGAATGAAGTGAAGAAAAGTGGGAAGAGAGTCTATGCATGTACGAGTTTACTGATTGAATAAAACAAACCTTTCAGCTGCTGCTCCCTGTTCCATTTGGGAAATTTGTCGCGGATCCGTTCGATAAAATCAATCAAGATCTGGGTGCCTTGGTGGAGGTGTCGCTCACTGTCCCATGCACCAAGTGGATCATGATTTCCTCCGTCAGGATTAACATCAACCTATAGAAATGGAAACGAAATGAGATGAACACAGTTGTTATGTGAGGCCCGACTAAGCGGGTGTGAGTGGAACAGTAATATTTATTATAACCTGCATCAGACCCCAGGCGTTGTATGCTTTTCTCTTGTGGTCATAGTCTCCCCAGCCGCCATCACGTAGTGTAGCTCCAGCCCTGGACTCTCTGGAGATGATGGCGGCAATGAGAGCTGGTTCAATCCCTTTGTCTTTTCCCACTCTGTTGATTTTAGACCTGTACTTTTCCATTCTTTGTCTTCAGTCTTTATCAGTCTTTGCCATGGTGTGTGAAGCCTTCCTACCTTTAGAGAGAAATCAAACAGAGAACAGGCCTTAGTGCAACAAACTGTCTTCCTGTCAGTATATTGATGTAGTTACACTGTAGCTATAGATAGATGTAGAGGAAAGCTTCATGATCACCAGATCAAATGTAGCTCCTCTCTGTGTTTACCTTCGCAAGTCAGGTTGTCCTGCCTAGCTGTCTGCTTTGAGGTACCGGACGTTTCAACCTTCATGATGTCTGCATCACCTGTTAATATTTATTTTTTTCAGGTTAGTTTTCATCAGCACACCTACAAAGCTCAAAGGACTTCACTTACAAGTTTCAAAGCCAATAACATGGAGTCATTTCAAACAAGATTGTTCTGCTGCATTCGCATGCAATCAGGCAGATGGTAGACTGCTGGCAACGTAACAGTAGACATCGTTGCCATTCTAAGTAAAAATATTTGAACTTTTTGCCGTCCTCCACGACAGAATTTACAACTGGATGTTGTGTAACTCCTTCCCACAAGGTGAAAACACAGACGATCTGCACTGGACTTTGTTTGATAAATTACTTAAATCACATTAAAGAATAAACACAAAATAATTTTATTTAAAATATGTTATTCCATTCTTTGTAAACAATTCGACATTACCATGGCAAAATATCTTGTATGCTACTGCTACTGCTACTCCTACTGCTGTTGCTGTTACACATGCCATACCTGTTTGGAACAAAGCATCATTTTGACAGAGGGGAGGTCAACTGATTGAATATGAGCAGCTTGCTAAACGTTTGACTGTATTGATTATTTAACTAAAACAACAGTGAAATGCAAAAATCCAGAGTTTTCTTCAGAAATATGAGCTAACATGGGGAGAGAAAAGTGAGCTAGCTTATAGACTACGGACAAAGTTAATATTCCATGACTTTGCACCACATGAACCACAAACAAATCCACCTTGCTTTTTGAAATACTGGGTGACATACTGTCGACCCTTTGCTTCTTTCTCCTCTCTTAGCTTCCTTTCTTTCCGTTCTGGACTTTATTTGATAAATTACTTGAATCACATTAAAGAATAAACACAAAATAATTTTATTAGACATTGATGGTTGTGGGTCTTAAATGCTACGGCAGTGTAGTTCACTTGACATGTTAAATTAAAGAATGAGAGGCAGTATTGAAGATTGACGCCAGTAAATTTAGTTTAAAAAAGAAATGTTATCTTTTCCACCATGATTTGACTATATTATGTGCAGGTCTGTGATCATGTGAGGACATAAGTTTATGTGCAACTGAACCTTTACTGTCCCTCTGCAGTACACAGATGTAGAAATGTAGCTTTGACTGGTCACACTGCATGAATTTATTACATCTCTAACTCAGCAATTGAAGCAAATTGCCAGAATTCATGTTGCACTGCATCAGTATTGAAAACATGATTTAAATCCAGAAGCTGTATTAACAGCAGCACAGTTAAGAGCGTAAGACAATATAATGAATGTTACCTTGCTCATCACTTTTCTGCAAATTGTCACACAAGGTATCAGCAGGAGAGCTGCTTAAAATTTTACAGGTTCAGCATTAGCACAGAATATGTGCACTTGAAGGGACTTAAAAATACAGTAGATAACTTTTATGTCATATTTGCTGAAACTGTCAGCGTACTCACACAGCTTTAAATGACACAGATAATCTGTGAAAAATCTCATATTCCTTCTCCCACCTCGTGTGCTTTTAATGGCATTAGCTAGAATTTACCACAGCTTATGAAAAACAACCAGTCAGAGCCGAGGAGTCTTTCATGCAGCTGTCAATCATGTCAATTATTGCGTGTGAACTGCCGTGGAACTTATCAAACTGATCAAATATGAATCAAAAATGTCACTGCATCGCCTATTTCTCACCTCAGTGGTTTTTAGAAACATATTTTAATTGGTGCATTCTTATTGTTTTTGTGTCTTGTATTAATGTTCGTTTTCTTTTGGGGTTTTTTTTTGTTTGTTTTAAAAAAAGGAAAAAATGGACAATAAAAATCACAAAAAAGAAACATATTTTAGTGTTTAGCTGTAAAATGAGAGGGTTAGTGACCCAGTTTAGCTCAAACAACCACCCACCAGCCAGAGCAACCTTTCTCATTTTACAACTAAACGATAGACTAAAATGTGTTTCTGAGAACATTTGATGTGAGAAATAAGCAATACAAAGTCACCAACTACAGCTTTAAAAAAGCTAAAAATCACTCTGACATTTTTTTTTAAATAATTCAAAAAAGAATAAAAAGATAGACACAGTCTAGTGTTACAATATTACATGTCGGTTGATCTTCACGATAGAAAGCTTAAAGTTAAATTCTATCAACAGTAAAATAACACAAGCACCCACCTGTTTCCTGCTCTCTTTGAAATCCGAATAAGAGCGCTGTACCACCTCTGTGCAGTCTCTGGTGCAAACACACTGGATGGCTGACTTTATGTACTGTAGTGCGTGATAACTTTCAGTTTCATTATGACTTGTTCATCCTGTCTGCTATTCTATTTATCACCTGCAGGAGGCGTTATTAAGCAGGCCTGAATGTTTTGCCAGTGAGGAAAGTGGAGGGGAAAGCAGCTGATTTACAAGAAATTCCCATCACTAACTGCAAAAGGCACAGGTTATTTATTTGGTCTGCTCAGTGAGCAGCGTACTGTGGTGGGCTGTAAACCACACAGTGTGGAGTAACGTTATGTCACAGCATCAGACAAAGAAGTGCATATGTCTGCTTTAAAACATTATATTTGTATGTAATTTATATCCAAACATTAGTTTTTTTTCACATGTAACCATCAGATATGACCTGTTCTGGATGTATATGTGCACGTAGGGGGTACCCTTACCACAAAATGATCTTTGTTGAATCCAAACAAAGTCAGTGAAAATAGGTTATAAAGCAGCACATACAAATGTGTTTGTCTATGAAAACCATGATGCATGTCAGCACTCTGAGACCTTAAATGAGAATGGCTTTTTCATTCTTTGGTTTAACTGTAGGTGCCAATGAAGGTTGATATCTTTGGCTAAGCTACCACATGGGAAGGGTTTCTATGTTGAAATATCATCTAGAGATAAAGAGTTTTTCATGATACCAAACTAGAATTTACTAGCTTGAGTTGCATTGAGTCATGAAGGAACAGCTGAAATAGGAGTTAAAATCTAAAGAGCTGAAAAGCCTAAAAACTGTTGTTATCTTTCTTTAGCTACTAATTTGCTCTGCACACTTGTGAGAGTGTGAAAGAAAAATCTCAAAGTAGAAGTTGCAGATGAACTTTTACTTTCGGTAACTATGCAGTTACCGAAAGTAAAAGACACAGACAATCAGCAGCAGCCTTGACCCCATCGGTGTAACAGAGCCACAAGCTTGTGTAATCCTTCACAGTTTGTACTCTCCAGTTCTGCATGTGCACATCACTGCAAGGTACAAAGGGTGGTGATAAACATCGCGCCTTAATTCCACATGTATTTTTATCACTTACATTTCATCAAATTAACACAGTGATTGAGGTCTATTAGCTGTTCTGGAGCTTTCAGTAATATCACACTCCTCATAGCATAAGACATTGTAAGTGCTTATTAACATATTTGTCAACAATTATAACTCCTGATATGGATCCAAACCTGCTGCTGCCAAAGATTTTCCCCAGTGTAGACCCTTCATGCCTTTACTGTCAAGGTGGTGGAAGATAACATACCCATGTTCTGGTCCTGCCCCAACTTTGGCACAGTGTGGGCCAACATTTGTAGCACCTTTACAAAGATATTTCAAAGAAGACATCACTCCAGACCCCTTTTTTGCATTATTTGGACCTACTCCTGAAACCCCATACAGGCAGGCCTTATATAGTCATAGCATTTACCTCATTGATTTCCTCATTCTTCTCTCCTGGATCAAACAAGCACCTCCATCTCCTAACTTCACGAAATAGATGAGAGACACTACGCTGCTCTTTGCAAAACTGTGGAGAGATTTGAACCTGCTTCTTAGAGTGCCATGGGAGTTAGTAAGGATGACCACAATTCTAGTGTTAGAGTGAAATCCTGCTTATCTAATTAAAAACATGAAAAGCACTTCTGACATACAGGGTTTCTTAGAGTGCTTCACTTTGTGATGATCAGACTGGAGAGAAAAGGGCAGAGTCAAGAGAGAGAATTGAGTCAAGATGAAAGGTTCAAGCAGCAGCAGTCCCACCAAAACAACTTTACGCTTCTGGCAAAATCGTCATCGCTTCGACTTCAAAAATGTGAAGTTGCAATATACACACGGTACACCTGTAGTTTGTGCCAGGGCTGTTTTTGTAAGGGTAATTAGATTTGACCAGCGGAAATGCAACATCAAAAATGTTTTGACAAAGAGTGTTTGCGGAACTCAAGATAATGTGGATGCATATTTTTTTTGTGTGTGTGTAAGGTGCAATACTTGCAGTGTTTGATTTTGCAGTAATCCAAATGTAATCCAAAATTATTGGGACTGGATTCTTTTTTTTTTTTAATACAATGGCTTACTGTAATAATTACAAAAATTGACATGTCATTTTAACGTAATCTGATCCAACCCTGAAATGAACGCTTTCTGTAATGCTCAGTTGGACAAACACCTTAAGGGTGATCATTTTTGTGATGACTTAAAAAAGACAATCAGCGCTGGTTGGGAGCGCAGGGTGGGAGGGACGTAGTCGTATCTTTCAAAATTGTAATAACTTGAATAATGGTGCTTTCCCATGCTTGTAAACATTATCATTTCTAGTATATGCTGCAAACAAACATAACACAGTATCCATGAAAGAAGGAGTGAAAATGGCTTTTAGGTCAGTGCCACAGGCAGCACCCATCTCTTTATGCTGATAACACAGTATAACATAGATGTAATCACATATGATTACACACACCCTACAGCTTTTATTAACTGCTTATATACTGTTCACATTGTTTACAGCCAAGTTTAAAATGATTTTTTAATGTATACAAAACTAATTAAACATGACTACGATATGGTAATTTAACCATTAGGCATTCATTAACTGTTCATACGACAGTTATGGATGCTTCTGATGGGCTACAGTTGTTAAAAATACATTATAAGGATTTAAAAGGTCAATCACCACAATCGTTTTGCTTTGCATTATGTTTATTTAGGAAAAGTTTCGACACAGAGCACACATTGCACAGTTACAGTGATTTCTGATGTGGACACAGCTTCAGGTTTTAAAAGCCTTTCTGGGTTTTGTAC